GCCAGGATTTCCTCCACACAGTACACACCCGCTCGGTTCGCAGTCCTGTTAATCCCAAGCACCTTGAGCTGTCTAGTCAGCCTCTGACGCCACCCCCGGCCTCTCAAAATAGCTCCTCGCCGTCTGGCCCCTGAACAACACACAATTTGCACAACGTCGCAGGGGGATAATCAGAGCAGGAGGTGACAGGGCACGGTGCACAAAGGAAAGGGCCGCTCCGGGCTTCAAGAACCCCGCTGTCCTGCGCAGGCGGCTGTAGGCGGGACGATCCAGGGTTCTGTACTTGACAAAACAAAAAACCTCGGCTTTCTGCGACCGGAAGAAACGGAGAAATCTGAGTATCTCTGAATCCGTCTTTGAACGCATGAAGCTGCCTTATCCTGAATCAGACTGGATCCAACAGTACTGTCTAAGATTAACGGTGGATCTCCGGAGTCTCAGGCAGAGGTCTTTCCCATCACCTCCTGCCTGGTCCTTTTTAACTGGAGATGCCGGGGACTGAACCTGGGACCTCCTGCATGCCAGGCAGAGGCTCTTCCACTGAGCCACAGCCCCTCTTGACAACTCTCCAGGGTCTCAGGCTGAGATCTTTCCCATCACCTCCCGCCTGGTCCTTTTTAACTGGAGATGCAGGGGAATGAACCTGGGACCTCCTGCATGCCAGGCAGAGGCTCTTCCACTGAGCCACAGCCCCTCTTGACAACTCTCCAGGGTCTCAGGCTGAGATCTTTCCCATCACCTCCCGCCTGGTCCTTTTTAACTGGAGATGCAGGGGAATGAACCTGGGACCTCCTGCATGCCAGGCAGAGGCTCTTCCACTGAGCCACAGCCCCTCTTTACAGCTCTCCAGGGTCTCAGGCTGAGGTCTTTCACACCACTGCTGGACCTCCTGATTGAACCTGGTATTTCTGGCCACTGTGTGACACAGAGTGTTGGACTGGATGGGCCTTTGGCCTGATCCAACATTGGCGTCTCATGTTCTTATGTTATCACCCCCTGCTTGGTCCTTTTAACTGGAGATGCCGGGGACTGAACTTGGGACCCTCTGGAAAGCAGCCCCCCCCC